CATCTAATCTTGCTTTCTGGAAGTGAAAAGACTTGAAGCAATGACTGATTCAGAAACTCAAGCATCCAGCCCGCAGTGTGGATTACGCGTCAACGGAAAGGAAACAGAAATCCTCACAACCAGACAATACATAGAGGTAATATTGAGGTTTTTAAGGTTGTTATTTTACTTGGACCTAAAACGAATACCCATTGAAGCAGCAGGTCAGAAATCGAATGGCATATTGTGTTGAATAAATTGTCAGCAAAAGACCACTTACAGGATGGAAAAGCAAAGAGGACACTTGGATTACTAAGGTGAGCCTGACCCAACTCCTGGTATTTTCAACCACTCCATATGCTTATGAGCAGTGGACAAGGAAGAATTGATGGCTCTGAATTATGGTGTTGGCAAAAAGTTTCAAATATTCTGCCAGAAGGAAAATTTTTCATCTGTTTTGGGAGTACACTTGGATGCTTCTCAGAAGTAAGGATGGGGACTTGTGCCATGAATTTTTCCTCATGTTATCTGGAGGAACCACACCCTGAAGAAAGATATGCTTGGTAAAGTAGAAGGTCTAATCTGTGCCCTAATGTTCATTGCTGTGCAGTTCACAAACGCAAAGAATTGGAAGCAGCCTAAATGTCCATCAATAGATGAATGGGTTAAAAAAAACACCACTGGGATATACACACAATGGAGTACTACACATCCCTGAAAAACAGGCTGAAACGATGAAGCACCTCCTCTCGTGGAAAGAGTTAGAGGATATTATGCTGAGTGAAGGTAGCCAAGCACAAAAGGACAACATGTGTCTACTGAGGTCACATGTTCAAACAGCAGAAAAGCCATGGAGGAAAATGTACATATGGCACAGTTCCCAAGCAGAGGACCACATACACTGGGGCAAGAGCCAGACCAAACCCAAGGATGCATATGTCAACAAAAAAAGAAAGAAAGAAGATTCAGATAGCACCTGTGATGAAAGACATCTCCCCCCACCCCCTGTCATATGCCTCCAGGGTCCACAGAGGGGTGTGGGAAGAAAGAAGGTGGCAGTGGGTGAAGACAGCACTAATCCACCCAAGGGGAGGCTATTGTTTATGTCTCCACCGGAAAGGGAGAGAGAGAATAGACTTCATTCCAGTGCGCCAAGCCTTGAGGGTGGAGTTTCTGCTTGGAGCAGCTCATTCAGAGAGCACTGCAGGGCTGGCCTCAGCTTGAAACACCATGTCCCTAGAGGACAACACTGAAGACAGTGCAGGGACTGCACTCCATCTGACCTGCCCATTGGGGGCAAACCAAGAGCGGAACACAACAGACCAGCAAAGGGAGAAAAACCATAAAGTCCCTGAGGAATCCCGATTGTAGACTTCTGACTTGGGGGACAGTGCTTGGAACCTCATTTGAACTGCTTGGAGGATACTCATAAGACATAAGAGGGCCACACTGAAAGCCTAAAGGTATACGGGGTGAGGCACTAGACCACTCCGTCCTTGACTTCAGGAAGAGCCACAGGGTCTTGTAGAAAGCACGCCCCTCGGACTGCGGAGGATTAAAAGGGTGTGCATGCTGTTAGGGAAGTGGGAAGGGGTCCTGGGAGATGGATCCTGGAAAGGAAAGGGGACTGGATGGATGGATTAAACCAGGGCCTATTTGCTGTTTAACAAGCTCTTCTATTCTGGGTCAGGACAAAGGTTAGACTTGGAACTATTTCTATGGTCTCTCTCTCTTTTTTCCCCCTTTCTTTTGGTGTCTATATAAAATAAGCACAATAAGTAATCCCAAGGAGACAGCAATGGGACCGACGGTTCAAGGGGCATGGGCAGGGGCAGGGGGAAGCAGTAAGCCAGTAAGAACAGGGACAGGGGAATAGCACAGGATCTAAAATTGACAGTGAGGGGTTGTGTAGCATTCCTGGTCATGTTTGATCCATGGAAATGTATCTGAGAGGAACAACTGAGAGATGAAAGATGGGTAAACATGATAGTGGGGCAGGAGGAAAGGAAAAAGAAAGAGGAAATAACAAGAAAGTAAAAATTATATAGAGAGGTATAAATATAGATATGTATATATGTAAGTAAATAAATGTAGCTGTATTTGTGTGTATATAAATACAACAAGGAAGCAGATGGACTTTGGGCCTCTACTTAATTCTTACCTCCATACAAGACTGATTTGTTCTAATAATGTGGCAATCTATAATGCTCACCTTCCCAATAGGATCCTTGAACACAAAATGTGTTCAAAGCAAATGTGAAGAAAGCTGATGGTGCCTGGCTATTAAATGATAAAGCATCTGGAGTCTTAAAAGCTTGAAGTTAAATAAGTGACCATCTAGTAGGGAAGCAACAAAGCCAACGTGGAAGAAGCACTCCAGCCTGTGTGAGCATGAGGTGCCAACAGGAATAGGTATCAGAAATTCAAAACAAGGAATCAAATTGACGTGAGGGAGCACAAAATGGAAACCCAAAGACCGCCTGTAACATAATTGGACAGTCCCCCACAGAAAGGTCACACAGAAGGAATGCTATATCCAGGGTGCAGTATAGCACTGATGTAACACCTAACTATCCTCTAGTTCTTTAATATTTCATCCCCTTACTCTTGGTCTTAGTTTTACCCCATTAATCTTGTTAGACTTGCATATGTCCATTTGTAAAATTAAGATAGTTCTATGTATGAAATCCAATATAGATAAACCCTTCACAAATAGTAACAGAGTAACGATTCCCTGAGGGTATAGTATTGGAAGAGAGACTGTATAGCCCCATTCAGGGGAATGACTACCAGAATTGTAGGTGAATGTATACCTTGGATGGTATCAGCTATGGCATAATAAAAATAATATATCACATAACAATAAGGGTTCCTGGGGAGTTGGATGGGGAAGGGAGGGGATAAAGGAGAGCTAATATCAAAGAGTTCAAGGGGAAAGAAAATGTTTTGAAACTGATGGTGGCAGCAATTGTACAATAATGATTGATCTATTGAATTATGGAATGTTACAATGTCTGTAAGAGCATCCAATCAGATTATCTTTTGTAAAAAGTAGAGGGTCTGCAAAAAAAAGGGGAAGAGCTTCAGAGGGATGAGTTGACAGTGGCTGCAACTATTTTCTCAAACAAAGCAACTATTGTGAGAATGTCCCAGCACCAGGTAGTAAGTTCAACATGGGGTCCCACTGAGAATGTCCCAGCACCAGGTAGTTAGTTCAACATGGGGTACCCCTGTGAGAATGTCCCAGCACTAGGTAGTAAGTTCAACATGGGGTCCCCCTGTGAGAATGTCCCAGCACCAGGTAGTAAGTTCAATATGGGGTCCCCCTGTGTTTGAAACCCACTCGCAGGCATCTAATATTAACAATAATGTCTCTCTCCAGAAGCTTGTAATGTTAATTATTTTTAGTGCGAAGTAACATAGACTCAAAGCACATAGAACTAAATACGCATGTACTGTTGTACACAAGGTCACTGAGTCAGAACGACCTTGATAACACTTAGCATTATTTAAGATTTGAGGGAATTGGTTCCAGGGCCCTCATATCAAAATATGAAGATTTTCAAGTCCCTTTATAAAACAGCAGAGTGTTTGCATTTATTTTATATACACGTTCGCCTAGATTTTAAATCAACTCTGGATTATGTATAATCTACCTAATACAATGTAAATGCAGTCCAGATATTACTTTATACTCTCTTTTACCTTGTGAGGGCTTTCTTTGATGATTTAATTACTGTTCAGGAGTCAGTTTTATTCCTGAGGAACAGAAAAGGTGTACAACATGAGTAGCAAGCAAACAGTTGGAGGCTATATCAGGGTACCGTATGTACCGTATATAAGCCGAGTTTTTCAGCACATTTTAATGCAGTTTTTGTGTTAAAATTAGGTGTCTTGGTTTTTATTCAGGTCAGTTTATACTTGCGTATATACGGTATGTGTAGATATCACTTCATTAGGATGGATTCAGTGTAGTATTTGGTTTACAGGGTAAGTTGGAATGTATGTATGTATGTATGTATGTATGTATGTATGTATGTATGTATGTATGTATTTCAGTCCACAATTCATTGAATCCAAGCAATACATTAATGAACAATGATATATGCATATTCAGATGTAAAGATAAAGTTCAGAAGCAATATAGAAAGGTATAGATATGTATTAGTGGTTAAGATTAAGGAAAAAAATCTCAAACATGTTATTTAAAAGAGATTTTTTTCTTCTTCCTACCCTTTGTATAAATTGTGCTTGCTTTTGTAATGTTAGCACCTTTTAGCTCAGTGAGTGGTTTTTGTGATTACATTTGCCAGATATGTATGAGCTGTATGCTAATTGTAGGAGTAATGCCATGTTTGAGTGAAAACCAAGATCTTTATGTTTGCAACTGGCAATTTAATCTTGCTTTTGTAGAATTTGTTATACGAAATCAGCATTTATCCTTGCAATAGTTTTTCTTAGGGTCAAGTTTTTTCCATTAAGTCTGGCATCCAGAATGGATGGGAAAACATGCATGGACTCTATTTTAGTCACAGAAATTACCAGTGAAATTAATCTTTATTAACTCCAAGAATGCAGCATCTAGTAATGCAACATTTATTTAAATGAACATTTTGTCAATTCATATATATTTCTTTGCATATGATACTGAAGGGTTCAAGAATAGATTTTGCCTTTTTGAATGGAATTTGGATACTTCTCACTTCAAGAGGATTTTAGGAAGTGTTCCCAATTCTTCATGTGTGTATGATTTTCTTCTGAAGCTATGATATGGATAAGGAGTGGATATAGAGTTGATGTTAATATCAATGCTGGTGCCAATTAAATTTATTTCAGTAGAAGTTTAGTAACTCCTACAGTATCTAAGACTGGGCACCCCAAAATAAAGTTCTTTGAAGCAAACTATTCTTGGAGGAGTCCCCTCATTAGTTTGTATCACTTAGTGAACAATATAGGCAATTTGATATTATCAGAAACATTTTATGGTATGTTTACTTGCTTTTTTGTGTGTATTTGTTTAGATAAGAAATGTTGAGACGAATCAATGTTTAGACAACATGGGCCGAAAGGAAAATGAGAAAGTGGGTATATTCAATTGCCATGGTATGGGAGGAAATCAGGTAAGATCTTGATTGATTTATCAGCTTCATCTCTCTCTATATATATCTATATTTGAAAATATTTTTGTTAAATGAATAGATGTAGACCATGGCCCCACTAGCAAGCCAATAACAATAAACTCTTTGCTTAGTAAATTAATGATCATTCAGTAAAATTTGCCTATTTCCTTTTCCCAAGTATCAAGAAAAAATTACAACATTTAATAAAATGGGCAATACTTTCAGTGAACCTACACGTATTGAATGAGGTTCTACAAAAGTTTAGACCGAGCCCACTATGCTAAGGATGCATACAGGTGGACCACAATGTATTTAACAATATAAACTGCCCTTAAATATTGTGATGTCTCCCCAAAGGTGATCTAGGGTACATGTACATAATTTCATATACGTGGCATTTTCATGTCTCTTCTATCCTCTAGGACTTTCTGAGTTTCAATAAAACTTGAAAACCCCTAACCCTTTCCTTACGTTTGCTTTGGCCTTCTTTCGATGCAGTGAAAATTTCGTATTTAAACAAGACATAGTCTAGTCAGAATCATGGGCGGTATTTTGTTTGTGCACAAGTTAATTAATAGTTTGATTAAATTTATCACAGAATTGTTAGGCATAAGGATTATTGTGCCCTTAAGGATGGGATGGTGGCTCTGGAAGATGGCCTACCTGGGGGCAGCAAGCCCTCTGGCTGGAGCAGCCCTGGGCCCATGGACACTCTGAGAGGTTGACCGGGCAATCTCTAGGGAATAAGGGAGAGTAGCACTGGTTATGTGTTGTGCTGCTATCCGCAAGAGCCCCGCTTTCTCTTTCTGTGCATGTTTGCCATCTAGGAAACTCCCATAAACACTATCGATGACAGTGAGCGGGGTGGGGGGAAAAGTGGCACAACACTCCAAATAATAAAACTACAACAAAACAAAACAAAATAAGGCTTGACTGGTTAAAGATTGATGGAATTTTCAAGATTATAACCCTTAATCATACTTTAGCCCTGGAACTGAGCATAGCCCATGGTTCAATTTTCAGCCAAATAATTGATAGATCAGGAAAAAATAGCACTGAGGAGGTAAGCTAATCATAAAATAATAAACTACTTAAGAAAGGGCAGCATTCTGAACAAAGAGGCCGAAAGATCAGGAAAGGAGGGGGTGTGCCTGTGACATCACATCGTGGGGACTACATCGAATGACATAAAACACTGTGTGTACAAATTATTTAACGAAAATCTGCTTTACTCTAAACTTTCACCTAAGTCACAATGAATGATATTTTAAAAGCACAGTCTTAGCTTTTTGTTTCCATTTATGATTTCAGCTGCTTTTGTTATTTTTAAAAGTGAAAAAAAATTGTTCAGTGGTTTATGCCTGAAACAAGATAAAAAGCAATACTACTTATCTTGTTGGTTAGTTCTGTAAAATGAAGCTTCTCATGCTAGTCTAATAAGTATATTTCTGGAAAAATATTAAATGAGCATATAAATGGTTGTATTTTGCTGCAGTTCAGTATTTAAGGGATGGTGAGTGTCAGAATAGACTTAAATTCTTGTCCTGCTCACTTTTAAGAAGAAGATATTTTGGAATTGTGTTCTCAAAGCGACCTTTTCCATTTTCATATTGCTATACGTTCAAGCTGTCATGGAAATATTTATTTTTATGGTTATTTAGCTTAAAATTGTCAAAGCAGCCTCTATCCTGCAAGCACAAAAAATAATCAAATCTCTCTAGTGCATTTACACAAATATTTTAACAAATGTAACATAGGTTTACTTTATAAATTAATTTTGATGCTCTTGTTATGTGTCTTAGCAATTCAACTCCATCACACATCTAAAAGAAGATTATGTTATGTGTTGTTGGCAATTTATACCATACCATTTCTCCACAGACAGGACTTTTGATAATTTTTTGTTGTTATAAACTTTTGGAGATATCAAGAAGCTTAACTATTTTAGTAGTTGTTAGCTATACTTTTCTTAAATAATCAAATTTTTTAAAAAATGCTAGCTTGTGTCAGTGGAAGCTTTTTGTATCAGGATTACTCTAAAGACAAACCAACAAACCAAAAAGTGTTATCGACTTTAACATGATCACTTTTTTAATTAATTGGGATTAATACATATGTTAAATCATTATATTTCAATCACATCCAGCAGAATTGTACATTTGCTACCACAAGCAGTTTCAAACATTCATTTTTTCATACGGACCACTTGATGTCATCACCCTTTCACCCTGCGACCCCCTCTGTTTCCCCCTCTCCCCAAAACCCATATTCTACTTGCTGACTTTGTAGGTTCATCATTCCTGGTTTTCATACCCCACCAAAATGAAAAATCATATACCACAACATTGAGGATGACCCCTAATAACATAACCCTTCTGATATACCCCCTACTCGGTACATTCAAAAATCAAACAAAACAATAGAACCCCCAAAACATAAGATTTTGGAAACCAGAGCAGGTCCAACATGCATCCTACAGGGAATCTGCTGACAAGTTTGAAGTCTTCAAGTCAGGATTCTACCTTTGACCTTCTATATTCAAAGGCACTGCATTTAGTGACCATTTCCTCCTATTCCACAATTGTGGATAAGGGAGTTCACCAGAGTTCTGTTTCCTGTTTAGTTCCACCAATCTATCTCAATGAATCTTGGTCTCCTACTGTCAACCAGAATCTTCTGCAAACCGGAGTCTCTGATATGAATCCCTCCCTTCGATTTCGGATTAAATGCTTCACGATCCTTCAGTGTTTCTTCCATGTAGACTTAGTTAACATCTCACTTTTATGGCTGCTTGTTTGGCGACAAGCCTTTAAGACCACAGACACTGTTTTATCTGATAGCCGGGCACCAGGTAATTTCTTCACCACATTTTACTATAGCATCTGTCTCCTCTGAATTCCCTTCCTGGAGGTGAATATTAGCAGGACCATAATGTAAGAACTAATTCTTCTTAAATTGGAGCTGGGATTTAGTGTGAGCCCCAAAAACATTCCTTAGTCTGTGATTGTTTGTTTTGTCTTTCAATTTATTCTTACTTGGGAATTAACCTAAATGCCATGTCAATCTTGTCTTGCACTCTTGCTCCTTCCCATCAATTTGGTTGCTTGTTTTTGAACTTCTGATACCTATTCCCATTGACACCACTTGATCACACAGGCTCCTTCCATGTGGACTTTGTTGCTTCCCTGCTAGATGGCTGCTTGTTTAACTTCAAACCATTAAGACCCCAGACACTGTACCTTTAAATAGCCAGGCACCATCAGCTTTCTTCACCACACTTGCTTATGTAAGTGCTTTGTTTTTAATAGGTTCCAGTCATCTACTTTGTCTTCTGCAACGTGTATTTCCTTTGTTATCTCTATTAGCTTGGGTAGTCCCTCCACTAGGGCACTTAGATCTGTCCCGATTTTCTCCTCAATGATCTTGACAGCTTTGGGTTGTACATTCAAGTGTTTGAGCCACCTTGAGTTTGTCTTTGTGCATTGGGTGAGATATGGGCCTTGTTTCATTCTTCTGCAGATGCTTGGTCAATATGTCCAGTACCATTTATTGAAGAGGCTTCCTGTTTAATGTGTTTTGGGCCTTTGTTGAAAATCTGTTGTCTGTATGTGGATGTTCTTTATTTCTGGATTTTCTGTCCTGATCCATTGGTCTGTGTATCTATCATTATACCCTTGACAGGCTGTTTGGACAATTGTAGCTGTACAGTAGGTCTTGAGGTCAGGTAAAGCAAGGCCACTTAATTTGTTCTTCTTTTTGAGTTCTTAGCCTCTTCTGGGCTTCTTGCCTCTCCATATGAAGTTGGTCATCTTTATTTTGCCTTTTCATTTCTATGAAGAATGATGCTGGGATATGGGTCAGGATTGCATAGAATTTGTATATTGCTTTAGGTAATATTGATATTTTCACAATATTAAGTCCTCCAATCCATGAATATGGATATTCTTCCATTTGTTTAGATCCTTTCTGGTTTCTTGTAGTATTCTTATGTAGTTTTCTTCTTACAGGTCTTTTTGGGGGTGGGGTGGGGGCAGTATTAGGTTTATTCCCAAGTATTCCGGCTTCTGTGTGGCTATTGTGAATGGTTTTGTTTCCTTGATATCTTTTTATGCATTCCCAGCACTGGTATATAGAACTCCAATGATTTCTGCTTGTTAATCTTGTATCCTACTATACTACCAAACTCCACTATTATTCCCAGTAATCCTATTGTGGACAACTTGTGATTCTCAATGTATAAAATCATATTATCTGCAAATAGCAAAGGATTCACTTCTTTACCCAATTGTACTCCCTTGACTTCTTGCCATTTTCTTATGGTAATGGCTAGGAAATCCAGCACAATTTTGAATAGAAGTGGGGATAAAGTGATATCCTTGCTGGGTTCTCTTATTTAGTGGAAATATTTTCAGCTTTTTATTATTGAGTGTAATATCAGCTATTGGTTTGTCTTATATAGCCTTTATTGTTTTGAGAAATTTCCCTTCCAATCCTATCATCTTGAGAGCTTTTATTATGAAAACACTTTTTTAACATAAATATATTTTCAGATAGGCAAACTATAGTTTATTAAATTAATCTCCTCTTCTTTAACACTTAAGACATTTATTTTTCATCAATATAGACTAGACTCACCAATATCTTTGTAACTATTAACATATTAACTTCTTTAGAAATAATGTCTAGAAATAAATTTAATAGATGAGGGGTTTTGCAATATAAAAATTTCTAATATATTGACAAATTATCATCTTTAAGGTTGTGCCAATTAAATAAGACTAATTACTAATGTAGGAGGAGACATTATCATAAACACTTAGGTTTATCCCCTTATGTTAATTTCAAATCATTATTACCTTTCATTCCCACAACAATCTATAAAGTGCATAGTGTAAGTATCTTGATTTTACAAGTGGTTTATGGGAAACTCTAAGCGACAATAACATGATTGGAGTCCAATGCCACTTGGAAACTAACTTTATCTGGCCCCAAAATATATA